AAACTGTCCCGTCGGGAAATATGTCACTACGTCACACAGTGGAGTCTCTCTGATTGGTTGATGCTGGAAATATGTCACTACGTCACACAGTGGAGTCTCTCTGATTGATGCTGGAAATATGTCACTACGTCACACAGTGGAGTCTCTCTGATTGATGCTGGAAATATGTCACTACGTCACACAGTGGAGTCTCTCTGATTGGTTGATGCTGGAAATATGTCGCTACGTCACACAGTGGAGTCTCTCTGATTGGTTGATGATGGAAATATGTCTCTACGTCACACAGTGGAGTCTCTCTGATTGGTTGACGCTGGAAATATGTCTCTACGTCACACAGTGGAGTCTCTCTGATTGGTTGATGATGGAAATATGTCTCTACGTCACACAGTGGAGTCTCTCTGATTGGTTGACGCGGCGCGTCGAGCTGCAAAAGTTCAGATTTTCTAACTTCAGCGATTTGAGCATCAAGCATGTCAAACCCTCAGATCGTTCAAATCGTACTGCTCTAATCGTACTGCTCTAATCGTACTGCTCTAATCGCGCTTGAGGCGCCGCAGAACTTCCTGACGCTGATTGAAGCGCGTCCACCGTAGACTTTGTTTGTAAACCTGCTGCTCCTGATGCTGAAATCATGTTTGGTGTGAACGCACCATTAATCCTACAACCGCCGATTGCTGGGGATGTGATTTCCTGAAACAGACCTTTAGCTCCTGGTGTAAAAATTAAAAAGTTGTTGAGGATTGCTAGTTCGGCTGCTTCTTTGTCTTTTTCTTTTGTTTGTTGTAGATTTTTCATTAAAGAAGCATCAATAAAGTTATTTTAAAACTGTTTATTGGAAAACTGAAGCGATGCATTCTGGGTACATGACGGATTTGATTTGTGACGGGAAACAAAAGCATGGAGTACAGGAAACTATCTTCCCTTCAAAATAAGAGCTTGGATTTTAAAGTTTTCCATGTAGTTGCTCCAGTTGACCACTAGATGTCAGTCTTCATCAGCATAACATCTTTAAATCATTTCCGAGTCTCTAACCCCGTTGCTTCGACCAATTACATCAAGTATTGAGCTCCGTTGTTTAAACTTTATTTTTTTTAAAGGAGCTGTGATTGTAAAGCAAGATAAATCAATACATACAAAATTTTAGTATGGATTACAAACGTTAACTGTTTTTGCTATTGCCTTCCTGCTACGTAAGCAGACACAAAGCATTGTGGGAAATCAGAAGCGTGACCCAAAGCAACAGTCAGCAGGATGTATACCTTCACAATAAGAGTGTTTATCTGGGAGGGGTGCTGTTGGATAGATCACATGTGTTGTGATTCATTGACAGTCATACCTTCTGCTGTTCAACATAATGATGACTGGTAGATAATTAGTTATTAGTGGTACTGCTTTTTAATTTTAGAAAGCACAAATCTGCTTATGAATTATAAAAAATTAGTAAGACTGCTAAAGCACAAATGAAATATTTAGGTCTGTAATTAGTGGATTTGTGATTTAGTGGACTGGTGCCCACCACTGCAACTCATCAAGTGTTTCACGAACCATCATCACTTCAACTACAACCTTAATCCTGACACGTTGAGTAAACTTTAAATAAAAGAAAACACAACGCAATGACTCATTTCTGTTTTTTTTCTTCTTCTCATTTTTAGGTCAAACTAAGGTTATTTTGAAAATAATGGCAAAAAAAAAGGTTTGGACAGGAGGACAAAGCATTCTGCAAAATAATTAGGTTAACTACCAACAGATCAATAAGAGGACTAAATAGAAAAAGAGCATTTTAGAGAGATTGAATCTCTGAATTAAGATGAGTAGAGCTTCACCAGTCTGTGAAAAACTTTCTAAAAATACTGGAATATTTTCAGAATAATAGTCCTGAACAGAAGCTAGAGTCGAGCTGAGTCCCAACACGATCCAGTTGCTGTTCTGTCAGATGGGATCAGGAGCAGTGACTCTGTGATGTATGATCTACTCACTGCGTTCTCTTTGATGGTGTCTTCGTGGGCCTGCAGGACTTGGACTCTGTGCAGACAGCGGAGCCGCTCGATGTGTCGCACGCTCAGGTCTTTGAATTTCTATCAGGAGAAATAAAGGAGGAGCATTTTAAGCTAAGGGTATGGAGCTTGTTTTGTTTCTTTAATCTTCAAACAAAGAAAAACAAAATGAAATAAAAAAACACATTTCAAACCAAAACTTTAAAAACAGTAACTGAATAAATATCTTTAAAAACTAAAGTATTCTTTACAAAGTCTATTTCCCATTAAAACCCACAGTTTTGTTTATTAATGCAAATAATTTGCTTGTGAAGAGAAAAGTTTTTTTTCTTTTGCACGTCAGAAATCTTTGGTTTTGGACTTTAAGTTTTTGGTTGCGTTTCACAAGTTTTGGTTTAGGTTTTTTTTTTTGCGTTCTGAAAACATGAACACATTGGGCGGGACCACTACGAACGTATGAAAAGTCTTTGTTATTGCCCAACACCATGATAGGTGGGCGGAGTCAACCAGATTCAAGATGGCTGCAGCAGTAATCAAACAGAAGAACTTACAGATGCTGAGCTAACATTTAGTGTGAGTGTATCTGAGTTACAACTGACTGAACAGGTTCTTTGTTTAAACTTCATGCAAAGCAGCAATAATCAAACCAAAAGAATCCATCTAGTTCTGTAAAAACAACAACAACAACAACAACAACAGTCAAGGCCAACACCAGCTCCAGCAGAACCTGACCGTCTCACCTCAAAGGCGTCAGTGAGGAGGTCAGTGATATTTATGGGTCGTGCAGCAGCAGGGTTAGTGTCACTGCAGCTGTTTTCCTCTGCAGGTGGAGAGGACACAACAACAGGTGACTCTTCACTTCCAACCTGCTCCAGGAAACTGTAGAAAACACAGTGAAGAGTTCCAATTCACTCATTCATACGAGTGAAAAAGACTTGAACTCAGGCAGACATTTCAAATCTAAAACGTGAATATGTAAACTGACACTGATTTTTAGTTTTTAAAGGATCCCTGATTAGTTGTAACATTAGACTTTAATAAACATATTTTAACTGTAAAATAAAGACTGTAAAAATAC